AGCAGCCAATAATTTAGTTGCCTTAATAATAACTTCATCCTTCAAAAGGTGTCAAAACCAACAAAGCGAGAATATTTGGGATCTGTCACCAACAAAAGACACTATGGTGGAAATTATGGGAACTTTAGAGGGGTGCTGACCACTCCATATTCAGAGAAAACACATACATACAAATATAAATACAGATATATATATATATATGTATACATATACACATACACATACACACACACACACACAGAGAAAAAACACAAATCTGGGAAGAGTCATATAACCCAGATTTGAGAGAACACACTTCAAAAAGTTCAGAGGAATGATGGGTAGGATCTCAAGGATTTTTACAAGAGAAATCAGCTCAGGAGAGATGGAAAGCTCTCTCAAAAATGAAATTCTGAAGACACAAAGAGGATCAATTCCAGTGGGGGAATCAAAAAGGGAAGCTGCCTAAAGATATGGTAGGGATGTTTAAAAAAAAAAAAAACAACTTCACAAAAATAGCCTAGATTTTAAAACACACACATACACACACACACACACACACACACACACTCAAAAGCTACGTGACCCTGAGCAGTCACAATTTCTCAGTACTCTAGACCAACTCTCTTAAGACTACAAGTTGCAAGGAAGACAACAAGAGAGGTAGACAGATTTTCCTCATTTGGGAGTTTCTTACCAAGAGTCAGCAAACTACACTTATTTGGCCCACCCCTATTTTTGTATGGCCCATAAGCTAATTATGGTTTTACCTTTTAAAAAGCAATAAGACCTTATTTTAAAATGTAAAAACCATTTTTAGCTCAGGGGTCATAAAAAACATAGGACCATAATCTGCTGACTTCTCCCCTATATCATGAAATCACAACTCCAAGCCCTATCCCAAAATTTAGAACATAGAAGCAAGGATAAAAGAAGATGAATAATAAAAGAATGGCATGGTCCTGAACAAATAGTGTCAGGAATGCTAAAGCTTTGAATGAGTTGAGACGAACAAAGAAAGCTAAAGACAACAAAAAGGGTTTTTTAAACAATACTAAGAAAAGATGAAGGATCAAAGAAGGGATAAGACTACTGCTTGGGATGATAAAAAACCATGAGTGAATGCAGAGCTAATTGATTCTTAATTTTGGAGAATTAGTTTTTGAACTGAAAAAAAAAAAAAGAACAAAAAAGGTTAATAAATAGTTGATATCCACTATAAATAGGGTGATCATAAGAGAACACCTCATTGCCTCCGAAGAATGGACAGATGAGACTGCTGAGTCATGATGACTAGTGAGCTTCTAAAGATCACAGAAAATGAAACGAAGTACCATAGGACTGAAGTACAAGTGTCCTGATTTTCAGAGGAGGGAAAACTACAGAGTTTGCAAACTACAGAGCTTAACTTCAATTCCTAATAAAATTCTAGTTCACCATGTTAGAGTGATGGCGAGTAAATTTATAGAAAAGGAAGTAGTAATCATAACAAGGCAGCATGGCTCCATCAAGAAAAGACCATTTCAGATGAACTTTATGTCCTTTTTTGATAGGATAATTAAAGTTAGGCATGGGGGATTCTGTAGACATATTTTACCTGGATTTTAGCAAATACTGGAGAAAAGCTTTTCATGCTATTCTTGTGGAAAAGATAGAGAAATATGAGATAGAATTATGATTAGGTGGAGTCAAGACCTGGCTGTATGCTCAGAGTCTATGAGCAGTCAATAACGGTTTAATAACAACTAAAAAAGAAGTCTCCAGTATGGTGTTCCAGGGAACTGTGCTTGAACGTGTGCTATTTAACAAAGGAGCAGAGATTTAGAACTAGAAGGGACCTTAAGTCACCAAGTCTAGATCCATCACTTTACAAACATATAAAGAGGGATTAAGTGACTTGTCCAAGGTAACAGAGCTAATAAATAGCAAAGTTCGGGATCAAATCTCAGAAATGAAAATTGCCTTTCTATGCTTTAGTATATAGCAGTTCTCAAAAGTTTCTGCAGTTCCCTGGGGGTTCCCAGGACCTTTCAGAAGCTCTGCAAAGGCAAAACTATTTTTATAATAATACTATGATGTTATTTGCCTTTTTTTTTTAACTCTCATTCTCCCACAAGTATACAGGGGGGTTTTCCAAAGGCTACATGATCTGAGAATTAAAAATTGAGCTGCAAACATTAAGACTGAATGAATATCTCATCTACAGAACTGAACTTTACCTGACTAATGGAAGAATCTACAGACATAGCTGGCCATGCTGTTTTGCTCGTATTCATCAGGTATTAGAACTAACTAAAGATCTTCTTTTACATGAACGCTTAACAACAAACACACGTGGGGCTGAAATATTCAAAGTGCCAGTTTCTAAGTGAAACATTCTCAGGTAAAAGGTCCTTGATGAATTAATAAAAATTACTAATTTAATCAAATATCAACCCTCAATAAGAATCTTTTTTTTAAAAAAAATAAAACAGGAAGCTCACCAAAAGCACCTCTGCTGCCTCCTAAGGTCTGAGGATTCTCAGGGAAAGCATGTGGGTAACTGTTTGGGTTGTGAGCTGAACTGACTGCTCTTCACGAACACCATATTTACTTGGAAAAATGACTGACAAACGAGAATTATTCATTTTTGGAGATTTGGCAGGCATTTTCTTTTACAGGGATTTGGAGGGGTTTGGGGGAGAGCTCAAGCAAGTCACTGCTTTCACTCCGCCATCCGGCAGGCATTTTCTTGAAAATGAACAAAGTGAGTTGAAGGAAAACAACAGACAGCATTAAAATTTGAGCTTCTGAGAGAAAATCAGAGTTTTGGAAAACTTGTATCTGCCACTGTGAGCTTGACAGTTTCCCAATGATTAAAGACTCTTCTGTTAAGATCAATGATGATATTAATGAATCTGATTTATTGATATTATAAAATGAAATGTGCCAATACTTGGAAGATCTGCATAATTCAGTGACCCACCCACTATTTTCCAAATGACAATGCATGATGCTACAAAGTCACGCATGATAAAAGATTCAGTCAAAGGGCAAAATAGACCAATGCAGAGCACAAAAAGTTCGATGATATGGTTTCAGAGTCTACATTGCAACTAACCTTTAAGAAACTACTTGCAAGTTTTGGAGTTCTATCAAAGAAGAATATCCACAATCACCTAAAAAGGACATAAAAACACTCTTCCCTTTTTCCAACTACATATCTATGTGAGGTCAGAATTTTTTTCATATATATCAATCAAAAAACATATCACAAGAAACTGAATGTAGAAACAAATAGGAATCCAGCTTTCTTCCTCTAAACTGGACATTAAAGAAATTCGTAAAAATGTTAAAAAAAAATGCTACTCTCACTAATTTTTTGGTTTTGTTTTGGAAAGAAGTTATTCTTCATAAAAAAGTTACATATGTTAATATCTTCTTAAAAAGCAAGTTTAACTATATTACTCTCACCATTCAATAAACTCCAGTGACTCCTTATTGCCTCTGAGATCAAATATAAATCCTCTATTTGGTCTTTAAAATCTTTTATCACCTGGCCCATTCCTACTTTTCCAGTCTTATAATATGTTACAACTACTCACATACTCAGATCAAGTGACACTGGCCTCCTTGCTGTTCCTCACACATGACACCGAATCTCCCAACTCTACGCATTTTTCATTTCATATGTCTTCTATATCTGGGATTTTCTCCCTCCGCATCTCCTGGCTTCCCTGGCTTCCTTCAAATCTCAGCAAAAATCTCACCTTCTACAAGAAGCCTTTCCCAGTCCTCCTTAAACTTAGTGCCCTCCCTCTGAGATTACCCTCAATTAACCCTGTATACAGTTTGTTTTTACATAGTAATTTGCATATTGTTTTCCCCATTAGACTGTGAACTCCTTGAGGGCAGAGACCAGTTTTTTTTTCCACTTTCTTGTATTCCTGGCACTTAGCACAGTGCCAAGAATACACAAAACACTTAATAAATGTTAGTTAGGACTAACTCACATAATGAGTCTGTTATTGTTATTTTTAAGTGGATAAATAAAAATATTTTTAATTTATCATTTTTAATTTCTAATACAGGAAATACTGATAGAAAGAACCCACATAAATAAGAGCTATTTGAGTTTATCAAAGTATAAAGGGATCTTGAGAGTAAAAAGTTTGGGAATTGTTGCCTTAGTAGTCTTCTTACAATGTTGTCACTCCCTCCTCCACCCCACCCACCCAAAAAAAAAGTCATTTGGTAGCTGATCTTTCAGTAACGAGCCATCACTTGATGCCACTTTCAAAGATCAGAGGAGATATAAGTCAGAACAAGAATAACATTTCTTACATTCTTACAAGTCTTTGGTTTTAATACTATCATCATACAGTAGCCAGCTTCACAGACAAATACTTGCCAAAGGCCAATCAAAACTTTAGTTTAAATATTTAATATATAGTCAAATATTTAATGTACTTGTGTGCCTCAAGTTAAGGTAAACTATCAAAACAAATTTTGTGAAAGAGAATTTAAAAAAAAATTAACTGCAATAGTATAAGAGTATGCTATATAGAAGTTTCAATAAAAAATCCTTTTTATTGCTGAAAAAATTCTTAGCACTTACAAAGCTTTCTTCCAAATTTATGAAATTACACTGTAAAAATAACCCTTACATGAGAAAAGACCCTTAACATAGTAACTGCCTCTGAATATACTTGGTAAAAATCCTATTTAAATTTCTGTAATGTCTTAAAGAACAAGGAAATCAGACAAAAAGCACCTAAAGCTACTTTAACATAATAGAAGTGTTTTTAAAGTTTAATAGTGAAGCTATATTAAAACTATAACCAAATCTAAAGTAGGAATTGAGCATGTTATCCTACTGTTATCATCTGTATAGCCTTAAAGAGATAAATGCTTCATGGAAAGATCACTTTACAATTTAGTTATTAACAACAAAATTAAACTTTATCATGAAAGCAAGAAAATAACTTTGGAACACAACTCAGCACAGAAAAATAAGGGGGAAAAGTATCAAATATACATACTCCCTTTGGAAGACCATGCACATGGGAGAACTGCATCCAAAGACTAGACCTGGTTGGGCATCTGGACTGTAGCCATTTTTAAGTAACATTTCTAGGCAGTCTTCATGACCTTCAAACACTGCTGAGTATACAGGACTCACTTTGTCCAGACCAGTGTCACAAATTCTATCAGTAATTGGTATTAGCAAGTCCAAGATTCTGCAAATATATGAATTCATGCACATTTTAAATCACAAGTAGGGTAAATTGGTATTTTTCTAACACATGTTACCAGTAGCATCATCCTTCATCCCTCACTGTATACAGTAACTCTATTACTTAGTAGTCATGTAATATTGGAAAAATCACTTAAAATTCTTTGGTTATCTCAATTTCCTTACTTGTAAAATTACCAAATAATCTCTTAGATTCCCTTCCTGCTCTAATGACCTAAGGTTCCATTTTATGATGAAAGATATCCATTTACTCAAAAAGTATATACATCTATTTTACACAAAGGTTTATATGTATATCTTAAACCAAATCTAATTAATTATAATTTACTTTTAAGGGCAGTATTTTAAGTCTTTTTCACTAGCATCTCCTGCTCAAAAATTAAAAACACATTTTGAGTCAAATCTTTGATCTAAAGTTCTAGGAAATAACTTAAAATATCACAACAATAGCTAAGTATTAACATGCTATTAAGCTTAAAACTCCTTTTTACTCTTACAAGTACCAAACAAAGTTGTATTTCTGAATTAGTAAATGCTTTTAAATTAGTGATAATTAGTAAGGGGCAGTTTTTATTTTCATCATAGAAAAATAATTATTGATGAAATGAAATCAATTTATTCTCAGTTCAAAATTTCTGCCCATTTTTATTATTCAAATTCTTCCATCCTATGCAAGGGATATAGTCTTTAAGTTCTGTTAAAGTTTAGAAACAAGTCAATGCCTGAGACAATTATTAATGAAAAACCCTACACTTTATGGAAATCTAAAATTTTCACTAAACAACGAGAAGCAAAAAAACAGCTGAGATACAATAAAAGTAAGATACCCCCTCTGAGAGGCAAAACACAAATATGATTTTCTCTTTGTTTCTTCCATGTAAAAGGAGGATGGCAGGAAATACTTAGCAGAACCTGAAATTCAGTGGGAAAACTAATTCAAAAACAGGATGTGAAAGATAAAATCTCACAGAAAAATTATTTCTTAAGCCCAGAATTCATCACAAGAGTTGAGGACAAAAGCCAGGAGAGTTCTGATACTAGTCTAAGATTCAAACTTAATTAGAAAAACAAATGTTAGAATAAACTAACAAGTAAAAATGAATAATTGAAAAATATACAGGGAACTCAATCAAATTTATACAAATAAGAGCCTTTCCCCACTTGATAAATGATCAAAGGATATAAACAAGCAGTTTTCAGAGGAAGAAATCCAAGCTATCAATAGTCATAAGAAAGAAGGTTCTAAATCACTAATAATTAGAGAAATACAAATTAAAACAATTCTGACATACTCCCTCTAATGTATGATTTGGCTAAGTTGAGATAAAAACAGAAATGATAGAGGCTGGGGAGCTAGGAGAAAACAGGTATTTTAATGTACTGGTAGAGTTACTGGTAGAGCTATGAACTGACCCAACCAATCAATCTGGAAAGCAATTTGGAACTATACCCAAAGGGTTATTAAAAGATTATTAAGGGGCAGCTAGGTGGTGCAGTGGATAGAGCACTGGCCCTGAAGTCAGAAGGACCTGAGTTCAAATCTGGCCTCAGACCAAACACTTGAAGCTTACTAGATGTGTGACCCTAGGCAAGTCACTTAACCCCAATTGCCTTTAAAAAAAAAAAAAAAGGTTATTAAAAGCCTTTGACCCAGCAATACTGCTGCTAGGTTTATACCTTAAAGAGTGATCTATACTATACAGGGCTAGGTCTCTATCCTAAAAAGGAAAAGGACCCATTTGTACAAAAATAGTTATAGCAGCTCTTTTTGTGGTGGCAAAGAATTCAAAGCTGAGGAGATACCCATAAATTAGGGAATGGCTTAACATATGAATATGATAGAATGTTATTGTGCTAAGAGAATTGATGAAAGGAATGGTCTCAGAAAAACCTAGGAAGACTTGTATGAACTAATGTGATGTGAAGTGAGCAGAACTTGCAGAACAATTTATACAATGTCAACCATATTGTAAAGACAATCAACTTTGAAAGACTTAGTAATTCTGATTAACACAATGACCAACCACAATTGCAAAGGACTCATGATGAAATATGCTATCTATCTCTAGATGGAAAGCTGATGGGACTCAGAATGAAGACTGAAATACATTTTCTTCTCTTTTTGGACATGGTTAATGTAGAAATCTGTTTTGCATGACTATACACACCTGTAATAGGTTTTGTTTTTCTTGCCTTCTCAAAAGGTAAGGGAAGAAAAGAAAGAATTTGGAACTTAAAATTAAAATAAATTAAATATTTTTAAAAGAATGAGAAATATATCAAATTCAGACTCAGGTTCCTATAAATATAACAGATTATTTTTAAAGTGTGCTCTTGAGTCATATTTAAATACAGTATTAGCTTAATGCTATTTAACTTTTCTAATTTTTTTTGTTTTAGAAAAGCATATTAATCTCTTTTTCCCAGTCAAACCTGCCTTCCTGCTTGCAATGGCTATTATACAATACTGCTGGTGCCAATATAACCAAATTTTAAGCAGAGAGAGGGAATATGTGGGAATCCCCAAGAGATGAATCTGCAAAACTATGAAGTGAAAGCTTTAGTATAACTGGATTTATATTATTACTAACATTAATCATAAAAGACTTTCAATCTTGCAATGATAAATCAAAGGGTCTTTGAAATATGTAATTCAAAATTATTCAGTGCTGGAATTTTTGCGATTTTGCAGAAAACCAAAGTCTTTAATTTGTTTCAAGCTAACTACTACTGCCCCATTACTTCACAAACTTTTACACATGCTAATACACAATCATACTCTTAGAAGATTTCCTACTTTGACTATGATCAGAGGGTGCAACATCCTACCAAAACCTTTTCCAACTATAACACTAGGCAACTAGTGTTATATTGCTAATAAGCTGATCATCCATGGTAAATTATGTCATGTTAAAATATAACAAATCATGACCTTACAGTCAAACATCTGTTTTCTGTCTCTCTTTTACTACTGGAAAAAATGTTCACTCTTTATTAATGTTTAATGATGAGACTTTCACTAGTCTTTTTGAGTACCTACCTTATATGACCCATTTGTGCAGCTGCATGAATAGGTAACTGCCATTTGTCCTCATTACAATAAAGATTGGGATCTGCCCCTTTAGAAAGTAAAAGCTCCACACAGTTTATATGGCCCTCTTGTGCAGCAATGAATAATGGAGTAGCTTTGTCCATAGCCTGACAATTGACATTAGCACCTGATATAAAAAAATACACTTAATAGGCAATCATTATACAAACAACAACAAAAAATTACAACCAACATAAATTAAATTAATATTTATGCAGTAGGCACTAAAAAGTTTCATCAAGTGGCACAGCTGTTTTTGCCCATGGGTATTATTGTATAATCATATTCATTTTTCTGACTGATTGATAATCATTTAAATTGCCTGTGCAATTTACACATACACATATGTGTTTATATATACACATGTATTTACACACACACACACACATACACATACACACACACACCCGGTATATTCGAAAGGCAGGACTTGAACCTAGGTCTTCCTGTTTCTAAGACTAGCCTTCTCTCTATGCCAGGCTACCTTACACATGATAAGAAAAGAAACCAGTCAGTAAACATAAACAAAAAGGCCACTATGAAGATCATTCATTGCAGCTTTACCAACATTAACTACAGAAAATGAAGAGGTAGAAAAATTCTAAAAATAACCCAACAAGCTCCTTCAAAACAAGTCAACATATAATGAAGGTGGATAAAGGGTTAAATGACAAAATATATATTGGAAAACATAAAACAGATTTGAGAAGTGAAAAAATATAAATGCAACAGATCAAACATACTCACTCCTTCATGACAAAGAGGCACGAGACTACTAGGACACACAGACTGGTAGCTTAGCTGTTTTTCTTTATCACAAGGAAAGGTTCAATTAGGGGCAGGAGCCAGGGAGAGAAGGATAAAATAAGGTTCACTTTAGAACCAAGGCTCTGATTGGTGAGCTTTCACTTTGTCTGCTTGCATACCCAGTGCTTACCATGGTGCCTGGTACATAATGAATTCTTAATAAATGTTTTTTTGTTTTACTTCACAAAAAGGTAGTAATTTTAACTGTATAAAAATTTAAAGGCTGACAATGAGAACTGAGGAAGAAGATTTAATGAAGCCAAGGGCAACAATGCTTTAGAACTTTAAAACTTTATAAAACTCTGGAAAAGGCTGACAGAAGATTATGAGAAATAATCCAAAGAAAGCTTGGTAGGAGTCCCAATTAAGTCATATAATTCCAATGTATTTATAGATGACACTGGCAAGAACACAACAAATTAACATAAAATGGCACAATCTATCAATATTTCTTCAACTATTTATTATTATCATCAATACCAGATCAATCAATAACCATTCATGAAGCACCACTAAGTGCAAGGTTCTGTTCTTATCACTGAGGATATAAAGACAAAAATGTGATAATCCCTGGTTTCAACAAATTTCTATTCTATTGGGGAAAACAATATGTACATGAATAAATACATACAGATTACATACAAAATAATTTTGGGAGGGAGGGCACTGGGAGCTGGGACCATCAGGAAAGTCTTCATGTAGAAGCTGAAATACCAGCTGAATATTAAAAGGGGCAGAAGAATGGAAGAAATACATTCTGGGCAAGAGAGATAAACAGTACAAAGGCACAGAGATGAAGATTCAGGATCATGGATAAAGAACAGCAGTAAGGCCACTGTGGTTTGACTATATTTGAATGAAAGGAGATGTTCTTGTCTGGACTATCTATCTGAAAAAAGGGGTATAATTTTGTCTTCTATTTTGTATTTCTATTTTGTCCTCTATATCCAGTGCCTGGCACACAGTAGGTGCTTAATAAATATTTGCTGATTGATTGATGAAATTTATGATTGGGCTGGAATTGAGGCCAGGTTGTGAAGGGCTTTAAATGCCAAATAGTTTCTATTTCATCCCAGTGGCAACAGGAAGCCAGTGGAGTTTTTGATTGAAGATGACGTAGTCAGACTTGTGATTTAGTAAAAATCTCTTGGGCAGATAAATGGAGGAGGGATGGGATGGAGGATAGGGGGAAAAGATATTTTGAGAAAAGGAGACTAACAAATACATTTGAAGACTAACACTTCAGTCCCTAATGAGATATTTGAAGTAGAAATGGCACTTAAGAAGATGAAACTGGAAAGAGCAGCTGAAACAAGTCAAGTAACGAGGAAATCTATGCTGGAGGCAACAAAATCTTGAAAGCACTTAGGCATTACTATAAAAGATTACTCAGGGAAAAGAAGATACTAAAAGAACAGAAAAGTCACCAAAAAAAGCAAGAGAAAATCTCAATAACTCCCAACCAGTATCATTTGTTGTTATTCAGTCATTCAGTCAAGTCCAACTCTTCATGACCCCATTTGGGGTTTTCTTGGCAAGGATACTGGAGTGGTTTGCCATTTCCTTCTCCAGTAGATTAAAGCAAACAGAAGTTAAATGATTTGCCCAGGGTCACAGGTGAGTGTCTGAGATTGAATTAGAACTCAGAGCTTCCTGACACCAGGCCCAGCATTCTACTTACTGTGCCATCTGGCTGTAATCCTTATTAAAATGATCTACCTTTGAATTTAGAGTATCCTAAATGAAAATACGAAAAATGAACAAGAAGAGCTTCACAAATGATTCCCTACAAGGAGCTAAATTTTTGTTGTCATACTAAAAGGTGCAGAGAACAGAGAATGTTTATTTTATGTTTATAGCTGTTAACTGATTGTTCATTACCTGAGCAAATGAATAAAAAGGTATTTGACTCAACAGAGTAACAGAAATCTCTCTTGCATATGATAAAAGCATGTGAGATTATCTGATAAGTACAACACAGATAATTCTGTAAAAAGACACCTGATTATCAATGTTAAGCAAAAATATTATTTGTACTAAAAAAATAGAGATATATGTTTGCCAGAGATGTTCAATACCATCAAAGAGGATGTACTGTGCAAGGTCTAAGGAAAAGAGGAATTCCCTGGGGATAATGAGGTACTCTAGACATTCTTATTAGCAGAAGAAACTGTGCTGACTTCATCATATCCTTGAGTAGCATGGGGTCACCCTCAGGATATTGACATATCCCAAACCAGGAAAAACTAAATGGATGAAAAATGCTTATTGTCCAGACTATGACATGTATTTAGAGGCTAACCCACAAAGTTAGTACCTTTATACTTGTGGGACATATAATGAAGGAGGACAATGGATTAGTTCAAGAATTCAATGGGAACGAAAAAGGCTAGATAGCATCCGGGAAACTTTGTAGTGTTTTAATTATCACAAGTTGCTTCCTATACAAAGGCCCATCTTTTTAATATAAAAGTTCTCCCAGCAATGCAATATACCTGTGAATCTCAAAACACCAAAATTTCTTTGATTTCAAAATTTCAAGGGATTGAGGAGTAAAGAAGACATGCCTGACAGATATGAGGCTTAAGTATATTTACAAGAAATAGAATAAGGAATATCATTGAGAAAATGAGGTGAGCAAGACATGTGATGAATCCAAGGTTTAGCAAATAGATAGCCCAAATATTGCCCTGATAATCACAAAATGTTTAAAGATATTGAAAGAAGTCCTCTCACAGACTAAATAGTTGCTCTGTGCAAACTCTATAGGAGAATAAGGACAAGAATTACACAGGATTAGCAGGCACAGGTGAGCTGAAGTCTGCACTGTGGGAAAAAGTAGCCACATAGATGAGATCACGGATCTACTAATTACTAATAATAGTCACTAATGATATTTATTTATGTTTTCTTTATTGGTACAGTTAATTGAGCACTAGATGAGAGTCCAGAAGGCCTAGTTCAAAACCATTCTCAGACACTTAGCCATGTAATTTCAGGCAAGTTGCCTAAACTCTGCTTCAGTTTCCTCATCTGTTAAATGGGGATAGTAATAGCATGTACCTATCAAAATTGTAAGAATAAAATGAGATGATATTTGTAAGGTATTTTGAAAACCTTAAAGTGCAATATAAAATGCTAGCTTATCTTTGACAGTTTAGGTATCAAAACCATATCTGCCTTGCAGAAAGAGTTAGGTAGAATACCATATATTTTTGAAAACTGTCTATATAATGTAGAGATTATTTGCTCTTTAAATGTTTAATGCAATTCATTTGTAATTCCATATAATCCTGCTGCCTTTTTTCCACTCAATAATAACCTATTTAGTTTCTCTTTCTAAAATTATTTTACTTAAGTTACCTATTTTTCTGCTTTCTCAATTTGGACATTGTACATGTTTACAAAAATTAATTACCAGCCTCTTAACTCTATAAAAAAAAATAGAGGTTAGCCTAATATGATCTGTTCTTGATGTTGCTTCTTTTTCTAGATGCCCACTAGCCATCCTTTTATTAAGGTCAAGAACTTTGCCAAAAATCAAAGTCAAAACTTCTAATTTTTTATTTAGCTTTTTATTTGATATATCATTTAGTTGAAGATGTAACAGCATAGCATAATATGCTCTGCAAACCTTAATTCGCTATATGTTTGGTGGGGAAGTGGACAGAACAGTAGGTCTTGAGTTAGGAAGAACTGAATTCAAAGGTAGACTCAGTCTTAGAACCCATATGATCCTGGACAAGTGACTTTACCTCTGTTAGTCTTAGTTTTCTGTACAATAGGGATAATGACAGCACCTACCTCTCAAGGTTGTTGTGAGGATAAAACAAGAAAATATTTGTAAAGTGTTACATAAATGCTATTCTTATTATCAATGTAATAAACATTCATTAAGTATCTATTATTTGCAAGATACTGGCTAAGCAGTGGAGAAACAAAGACAGAAAAGGATATAGTCTCTGCCCTGAAAAAACTTATCATTTACTAGTAGAGTACAAAAGCACATAGTTAAATTAAAAGGTAATTTCATGAGAAAATAACATTAATAACTGAAGAGGTACCAGAGAAGGCTCCACAAAAAAGGTGACAAGATGTTTGAAAGGTACTGAAATCCCCTACTCTTAATTTGCTAAGGTTTTTTTTTTTGCAAATAAGTATACTTTTTCTTTATGATTTTATGTTGCCATGTCATGTGATATGTAATCATTTAGTAATAAAACAATAATAATAACTGACCCTTTAATTACATCATAGTACTTTGAGCTTTGCAAAATTCTTCATATATCATTCTTGTGATTCTTACAACAAAACTGAGAGACAGGTACTGCAGATATTACTATCCCTATTTTACAAATGAGGAAAGTGATGGTCAAAAAAGTCCTGACTTGCTCATTATAGTTTCCTGTCAGTGGTACCTTTAAAGATAGTATAAATTTCCTTAGTTAGCTCTCTGTTTTGTCAGTTATGATCACTGTAAGTGGTTTTTTGGAATTGGCTGATCTACAAATACTTTTAAGCACTAGGTGCATTTCCTGTAAGCAACAAATTGTTTGGTTATTGTTTTTAATCTACTAAATAAGCCTTTTTTCTTTTAGGATGGCAATTCAATCAACTTTGTTAATTGGTTATAATTATTAAACCTCATTTTTATTTATGTATCTCTGCCTATGTCGTATCCCATTAAGAGACTATAAGCTCCCTGAGGTGAAAGACCCTAATTTATATCTTATGCCCCTTAAAAGCTACTCATTTTGTTTTGTTTACAGTAGGCACTTAATAAATGTTCATCAGATTGGGCTGGTTGGATTGTATTTGTCTTCTGCTGTTATACTCTGATTTATTAAAAGCACATACAAGACCCTCTAAACATAATCCCTATATTTTAGACTATTAACTATACATTTTATGGAAATTTAATCCTTTGCCCACTTTCTTCTTTTTCTCTGTTGGGAAGGACCTATAATTACATTAGTGTACAAGAGTTTCAGTGAAGAAACTCCCCCTATCAATGCACATAAGCAACAATTGTCCAGAATGTTGAAATGTTAAATCTGCATCATCCCTTCTCTCCCCACTTGCCCACCATATCTTTATTATCCTTACCAAGACAGTGTTTTCACTCTGGTGTTGCTAGTCTCTTTCTCTCTCCACTCTCATTATATTTCCCCATTACAGTTCCTGCCTCCCCCCCCCAACTTCCTCCCCCCTTCCCCCCAACCCCGCCAACTTTTTCTTTCTGCAATGCTCACAACCAATTCACTCATTTTTTTGTTCCTTCTTCCCCTACAAGACTAACTATATCATTAATACAACCACAGGATTGAGTGTTCCACAGCCCCTTAAAATCATCTAATCCAAATTTCTCTTTTTGTTGGTACCGTCCTCATCTCTTCCAGCTGAAGGAATTGAAATCCAGTTTATACTACCATCAAAAAGCAATTCTCCAATCTGGCTTAGTAGTGCCTTAGTAGATGAGTCCTGGGAAACTGCCTAAGCTTAACTGACTTGCTCAAGAACACAAGTAAATATCAGAGGAGGTTTTAAATCTAAACCAAAATCTATCACTGACTAAGTAGTATTAGTACTTAAGACTTGCTGGGTTTTTTTTTAACCAGGGCTGTCCCTGGATTATTTTCAGCTTTATTGAGCAGAAATAATTAACCTCCTATCTAAATTAACAGTCTATACACTACTTATGTTGCATAAATGAGCCTGTCCTGTTGTATATGCCTTTTCTTCTCTGATAAGTGTACCTGAAGTGATCCTAAACACTGTGCCTGTGCTCCTAAGTACCACTATTCATCTGGTGGCAGCCCAGGAGCTACTCAAGTACGGGGTTAGTATAGAAGAAATACAGAAGAAAATGCCTTTAAATAACATGTCCTGTAACATCAACTCTTTTTACAGTGATGAAAATGTCATAGAAAGTAAGAAAGCCATTTTCTTATACTTGCTTATGAGATGCTAAAAACCAAGATACAAACATTAAGCCAGCAGGAAAAACTGAAGGTAAGTGGAAGTCTGAGCAACAAATTATGAATTTCAATGTGAGATAGAACACAAGAACCTCATGACCAAGGAACAAGAAAATATAATAATGATAATAAGGGCAATAAAATTAGATAGAGTAAATGGAGCTTCAGAATCTCATACGGGAAATGAAAAATGCCAAAAAGACATCCTGAATTCTGGAAGTGTCAGGAATAAGGTAGAAGGCAGAATAATGTTGTTGTCATTTGTTTGTCTCAATGACAAGATCCCAGGCAGTGAGTGGAAAAGGAAAAGTCCCACAGCAAAAAAGCACCATTCATATTAAAGTTGTGGTTCTGCTTTTTTAAAATAAAAACAGACTACAGGACAAAAGTAGCATAAAACAGAAGAAAGCTATTGGTTTCAATTGATGACAGTCACAGAGAAACCTACAGCAAGATTATTTTAGATAATTACACAATCCAGTCAAAATAGACAAACCAAACCACAAAACACAAAATTGTTTCTAAAAATTAAACAAAATGTAAAAATAGTCATCCAGTAGAAGGCCGGGAACACTCATGTTATGGAGAGCCCACCACTCAACAGACCAATAATCTTGCTTTAGAAAGAGTTCATTATGCCAGACTCTGATAAATTAGAAGCTTGACATTGCAGAATGTTAGCAAAAAATTCTTAATAAATGGGCCCATAAATCAAATAATCATTACTCTTATGTATCATATGTGCAGTCAAAAAACTGTATGATCTAGTTTAGATTTATTTGGTCATATCATTCTAGGAAGAAGAACTAACGTTAAATTATTTGTGTTTAACCATGCAGAGGCTGAATAGCAGAATCTTACCAGATGAAATAAGTACATTCAAACTTTCCAGCTTTCCATATTGGGCTGCAACAAATAAAGGTGTGATCCCAAAGTCGTCCTGGCATTCCTTGTTTGCTCCTTTTTTGAGAAGCAATTTTATTAACTCAGTGTATTCCTGAAGCATAGATTCACAATTAAAATGAGAAAAATAGGGAAGAAAAATATGCTGTCTAATTAAACATTCTAACAGAAACTTAGAAAGATGTAGACTATAAAATGTGAGAATGAATGGAATTTATAGGGTTAATTCATCAAATGGGTTAATTTTATTCTTTACCTTAAGTTAGTACAGCAAATAAACATAAATAGAAACAATATTAGTATCTTAGAAATGAAGCAAAGAAAGGCAAAAATCTCTTGCTGCCTCAGAATATATACTTTCTATCCACTGCTAAACAGTTTCTCAAACAAAAATAATTGCCTGCAAATTGACTTGCATTTCAATTTTTTTTTTTTTGGTTGGGGTAATTGGGGTTAAGTGACTTGCCCAGAGTCACACAGCTAGTGAGTGTTATGTATCTGAGGCCAGATTTGAACTCAGGTCTTCCTGCCTCCAGGGCTGGTGCTCTATCCACTGCACCACCTAGTTACACCCCCTCCCCCTGATTTTTTTTTTTTTTTTTGCTTTTTGGTGAGGCAATCAGGGTAAAGTGACTTGCTCAGGGTTACACAGCTAGGAAGTGTCAAGTGCCTGAGGCCAAATTTGAACTCAGGTCCTCCTGACTCCAAGGCTCTACCCACTGCGCCACCTAGCTGCCCCTCATTCCAAATATTTTGTATGATGACATCTTAAAGATGCTATCCAACCTGATTTATGGAGAATGGAGGAATTTATGACCAAACAAGACATAGAGAACATTATGAAATGTGAAATGGATAATTTTGATTACATTAAATTGAAAAGTTTTTGCACAAACCAAGCCAATGCAACCAAGATTAGAAGGGAAGCAGAAAATGGGAAAGAATTTTTACAACCAGTGTCTCTGATAAATGCCTCATTTCTAAAATACAGAGAGAACTGAGTCAAATTTATAAGAATACAAGTCATTTCCCAATTGATAAATGGTCAAAGGATATGAATAGGCAGTTTTCAGATGAAAAAATCAGTTAATCTATAATTATATGAAAAAATTCTCTAAATCACTATTGATCAGAGAAATGCAAATCAAAACAACTCTGAGGTACTACATCACATCTATCAGATTGGGTGACACAACAAAACAGGAAAATTATACAAGTTGTAGAAGATGTGGGAAAACTGGAACACTAATGCATTGTTGGTGGAGCTGTGAACTGATCCAACCATTCTGGAGACCAATTTGGAGCTATGCCAAAAGGGCTATAAAAATGTGCACACTCTTTGACCCAGCAATACCACTTCTAGGGCTGTATACCAAAAGAGATCATAAAAATGGGGAAAGGACCCATACGCAGAAAAATATTTACAGCAGCTCTTTTTGTGGTGGCAAATAATTGGAAAGTGAGGGGATGCACATCAACTGGTGAATGACTGAACAAGTTGTGGTATATGAATGTGATGAAATACTATTATGCTGTAAGAAATGATGAGCAGGCAGACTTCAGAAAAACCTGGAAAGACTTTTATGAACTGATGCTGAGTGAAATGAGCAGAACCTGGAGAACATTGTACATAGTAATAGTCACATTGTGCAATGACTAACTTTGATAGACTTAGCTCTCCCCAGCAATGCAAGGATCTAAGACAATTCCAAAAGACTCATGATGGAAAATGCCATCCACATCCAAAGAAAGAACTATGGAGTCTGAATGCAGATCGAAGCATATTATTTGCTCTCTTTTTTTTGTTTTGTTTTTTTTTCTCATGGTTCCTTCCATTCATTCTAATTCTTCTTTACAACATGACTGATACAAAAATATGTTTAATAAGAATGCATATATAGAGCCCATATCAAATCGTACATTGTCTTGGAAAGGGGGGGAGGGGAAAGGAAGGAGGTAGAGAAAATTTAAAACTCAAAAGTTTACGGAAGTGAATGCTGAAAACTAAAAATAAATAAATTAATTTTTAAAAATATGCTATCCATACTTTAAATGCTGAAATAATCCTTACAAACCAAAATTTCACATTATCAGTTGGTTTATTCAGAATAATCATTAGCATTTAGACTGCCTTTTCTGTACCAACCTAACCATCATAAATCAGAGGTAAATGAAAAGCAAAAACTGGGCAGAATTTTCATCTTAAAAGGATAAAACACACACTATATATAGAAATGAAATAATAACTTCAGAGGTTACCTGAAAAGCTGCCTGGTGCAGGGCATTCCACCCACACATAGAATGAGATCCATTAACATCTGCTCCATGCCGAAGCAACAGCTTTACCACATCTACATGTCCATTTTCAACAGCTGCAAGAGAACAAAGACATTACTATTACTAAAAAAAAAAAAAAAGTTTAAAAGACAAGTTTTTTGCTAGTTTTTCACTACAATACTGTGTGTGCACCTACCAAATTCAAATACATTATCATGTGACTAAATTATATTGATTAGTTTGGTGGTCTAAACTCAAATTCATCTAGCATATACTTTTAATCTCTATGCACATTCAAATTAAATCAACATTTATTGAACATTTACTATGTTTAAGGCACCATGCTAGGCACTGAGACATACAAAGAACAAAATGAAAAGTGGTTTCTGCCCACAATAGCTGATACAACATGTAAAACATAAACACAAGATAAAGTGAAGAGAGGGTTAGTACCAATGATATAAGAGGATCAAAGAAGATAAGTATTTTGGAAAGTTTTTGCTGTTCAGTCATTTTCAGCTGTGTCTGACTCTTCATGGCCTCATTTGGCAAAAATACCATTTCATTATCCAGCTCATTTTACAGATGAGGAAACCGAGGCAAACTGGGCTAAGTGACTTGCCCAGGGTCACATGGCTAAGTAAGTTTCTGAGGCCATATGAAAGCATTTTGGATAGCATAAATGCTTGATTTAAAAGTAGTCTTATAATTTTAACTCATGACCTAAAGACCTTTCACTTTCAACTCTGGGCTTACACAGATCCAGACATATCTTAGAGATGTCCCACAAATTATTCTCTTTGCCTTGGGTCCACACTTAAAGTTCCTCCTGGGAACATCAAGAAATGGCTCAGGTATAGGTCTAGTACTAATGAAGGTTGAAGTCAATGTTTGCTCATCTGCATTGTTGTTCTGTACCTTGATGTTCCTCAACTCCAGTTCCTGCTTGGTTCAAGAACTCAGAGTTGTCTGGGAACTCCACTTCTCTCTAGATGGATCTGGTTTTGAAGTCTTCCAATGAGTAGCTTCTCATCCAAGAATTTCTTCATGGTCTCTCCAAGCTGCTGCCATATCCAGGGCAGAGTTAGGTAAGAAGGTTGTGCCAATAAGCTGACTTCTCTTTCTTCCTCCTATCCAGGGACCCAAGCAAGCTCTTTGTGTGGAGCCCCTCTCCTATGTGCATCTTTCAGTTACGATTTTCAATACTGTGTTTTAAAAATCAAGGAGAAAATGGAGACTAGGGCATCTGTAAGTTCGTTTCTTTCCTAATTCTCTTTGTCTCATTTTCTGTTCATTTCCAATAACTGGGTTTAGTTAATGGTTTAAATCTTGTTGATTTGATGTTTTTATATTAATAATTACATTTTATTTTTAAAATTTTTTTTATAACTCAATCATGTGCTTATTTTGACCTTATCTTTTTTTTTAAGGCAATTGGTGTTAAGTGACTTGTCCAGGGTCACACAACTAGTAAGAATAATTACATTTTAGCACAATAGTCACTAATTAATGAAGAAAAAGCTAATGATGACATATCATGAAGACTAAAGTTCTGATAATATAACCATTTTATCAAAGGCAGAATGTTTACAAAATAAAGAGGATAAATAATGCTACAAAAGCTACTTTAAAATTAATCACATTTATAAGAAACATATTCATTACACAACAGCAACTCAAGCACAAATGAAAAATACAGTAAAACTTCTCCAATTTGAATTAAAGTAGATAAGCCTTAGCTGAGTTACAGGATGTTTACAAAGTAGTTCTGATCACCACCAAATATGCAATAACTTGAAATAACGATGACAAAAATACACTGAAACCACTCACCCTGAAAGACAGCACATCCTTTCTCCATTACTGGCTATTCATTTTCCCATACTACCAGAATCAATAGACCTAGAGCAGGAATTCACTCACATTTTGCTTTCCATTGCCACTTCAATACTGCTACCATCACTCAACAGCCTCACTTCCTTTAAAGATTATAACTTTGAATTACATCTTTTCCATATGCTGAATGCTGCCACTGTAGGATGCTGCTCTCAGCTGTCAAAATCACTTTTTTTCTAAAATACTGATCTGTCCATGTTATCCTGCTATGTAATAAACTCCAGTAGCTTCCCATTACCACCAGAAGCAAATATCCTCTATTTGATATTTAAAGTTCATTAACCTGGCCCCTTCCTACATTTCTAGTCTTCTTTCACTGCAATCCAAAAACACTGGTCTACATGCTGTTCCTCAAACATCATACTCCATCTCCCATGAAATGCTGTCTTCTTGCCATTGCCTCTTAACTTCTTTGGCTTCTGTCAAGATTCAGCTCCAATACCACCTTCTGCAGGATATCATTCTCAGTCCCCCTAGCTGCTACTTTGTTTTCCTCTGAGATTACTTTCCAAATATCTATATCTATCTAGGTGGATAGAGAAATACATACATACAGACACACACATAGACAGATACATATAGATATCTATGTACATAAATAGATATCTATATACATATATATATAGATAACCATGTATATACACATACATTTTGTAAGTACTTAACTATTTATGTGTTATCTCCATCCTTTTGTCAGTTCCCCAATGGAATGAACAGTTTTTGCCTTTTTTGTACCCCCAGCGCTCAGTACAGTAGCTGGTACATATTGTTCGATAAATGTTTTGTTGACACAGTCTCCTATCATCTTCAATTATTTCAGCAATTGGTCTATCGTCTTTCTCTCCACCTCAACTTTTGCCATTGTTTTGAGTGACTTCTATATTCACAACAATGACCCTAATTTCTGCAGTTTCATTTTATCAATCTACTTAACTCCCATGACATCTGTCTCCACTCTACTTCAGGTAGAACTCAGATTCCCATAAGTACTTTAATCTTTATGATCACTTAAAACTGCTCTACCTCCAAGATCTAGAACTCTGAAATCTCCCTCTTTGATCACAAACTCTTATCTTCTTTTTTTAATAGTATTTTATTTATCCCCAATTACATGTCAAGAAAATTTTAGCATCAAATTCCAAATTTTTTCTCACTCCCTCCCCTTTTCTGAAAATTGTAGTCAGTTTGATATAATTTATACATGTGCTATCATGTAAAAATATTTCCATATTAGTCACAGTTGTGAAAGATGAAACAGATCAAAAGAAAAAAAAACATGAGAAAGAATGAAGTGAAAAAAATACGCTTTGATCTGCAGTACATCAGTACTTTATCTGAATATGGATAGCATTTTCCTTCTTTGTGAGTCCTTTGTACTTGTCTTGGATCACTGTGTTGCTGAGAAGATCTGAGTTATTTATAGTTGATCATCGCACTATAGGACTGTTGCCAGGTACTGTCTCCTGGTTCTGCTCACTTCACTCAGTATTAGTTCATACAAGTCTTCCCAGATTTTTCTGAAATCTGCCTGTTCATCATTTCTTATTGCACAGTAGTATTCCATTACATTCAGCTTGTTCAGCCATCCCCAACTGATGGGCATCCCCTCAGTTTCCAATAGTTTGCCACCACAAAAAGGGCTGCTATAAATATTTTTGCACGTGTGGGTCCTTTTCCCTTTTTTATGATCTCTTTGGACTACAGAACTATATTGGTATTGCTGAATCAAAGGGTATGCAGTTTGATTGCCCTTTGGGTATAATTCCAAATTGTTCTCCAGAATGGTTGGATCAGTTCACAACTCTACCAACAATGCACTGGTGTTCCAATTTTCCCACATCTTCTCCAACATTTATCATTTTCCTTTTCTGTCATATTAGCCAATCTGATAGGTATAAGATGGTCACAAACTCTTATCTTCTACTTCTTCTACTTCCGCATTCCTTCTTTATCTGCTCTTCACCCTTATCATAACCTTTAGTCTCTCATTTTTTTCCAGACTATCAAAACCTAATTCTGACTTTATTTTCCCTCTATTCAGTCATGACCTTATGGCTTAGCCATCTTATGGCATTAGGCATAATGCCTTCTACTTCACCCTTGAATCCTTTATACTCTTGACTTTCTACCATTCTAATTCAGGCAACTCTAAACCTTGAATAACTCCTAATATCCACCTCTTCCTCTCCTGCTACAGAAAGGCCAACATTGCTGAAGGAAATCAGGAAACTGTCCTGACTGGATCTACTATAAATTTAAGATATTTAACCTCTACTGGCCCTCACTACTGTAACCAATCCTCTAATCCTTTACAGACTACCATTGGTCAACAAGTAGTTAATACAATTAATAATTTATTAGACTGCAAATTCCTTAAGAGCAGGCCCTGTCTTTTACCTTCTTTGTATCACCAACTTAGCACAGTGACTAGCATATAGTAGGGAAGGTATCTGGCACATAGTAGGCACTCAATAAATGTTTGCTATTATATTTTTACATTTCTTGGCAACAGCTGTTCCAAACTTTCTCTTCTCTCTAAACCAACACCACCTGGTATCCTCTCCCCTCAGCAGAAGACATGACCTACTACTTCACTAAAATGACTGATGACTCAACTCCCTCAACTTCCCTTCCTCCATTCCTCTAAATCTCTCAGTGTCTTTACCCATAATCTCCATCCTTCCCACTTTATCAATATAAAGCCAACCTAATTTTTGATAGCCAAATAAAAAATGTTTCACACACCCTTACCAACAAATTATCAAGAAAATTGCAGAATCAAAGAACCTAGTTTTTAAGATAACTAAGTTGACAATGATGACATTTAAAACAGTGTAAACACAGTTTATTTTTCATGAGTAAGATGACTTTATTAAATATTAATAAACTATTAAATAAGGCATGTAAGTCATTCACAGAGGAAAAATACCTTCCCTCAATAACACCGTAACAGCCACTTTAAATCACCAGATATATGCAAGTCTTCTCTAACAATATCTTTCATAGATCATGAAGTGAAACAAAAATAGGAACAGATATGGTATTGGAAATTCTTGCTAATAATTTTAAAATATCAAAGAATTTAATGGTCAATGATAGAGAATAGATATAGTTTTAAAAAGTATTTGGGGGTCCAAATCTACCTCAATTCACTAGGATATTATCTCAGCTTCATCATTTGGAACAAAATAGCATCATA